AAGCCAATTGAAGTAATACAGAATAAGAGAAATATCGGGGACTGTCATTTGTCTTTTCTTGACTCTATCCCTCAAAGTATACTTTCCCTCATAATTGTTATGTTCCCATTGTTGCCTTTCCTAGTATGCATAAATATAAAAGTAAAAATTTCTCTGCTAACATTTATGTTTGAGTTCCACACAGTCAATGAAGAACTGCCTAACACCAATCCTTGAACCTTCCGGAAAGAATATGGGCCACACTTCCTCAATTCCATTGGATCCTATTTGATTAGTTTCAACTGACAGTCAGGCCAGAGCTTTGGGTACTGATTCCAATCAACACAAGGACTCAATCAAGTTAAGGACTTCAACCTAGACCTTCAATTAAGCAGCTCCCACTAAACATGGATTGGATATAATCTACCCAAGAATTTCACTACACCACTATTTTCTATCTACAGGACCCCACGAGGCTATCGTCATCCCAGGTCAGCAGGAAGTAACTTGGAGAATACTTCGCCCCCTTTCCCTACTATTGTCACTAAGGATAATGTACACCTAGTTAGGGCTAGTTTCCTATTGTTTAGGGTGGGGTTTGGAAGGAGGTGTTCAGGCTTAGCCATCTCTTTCAGATGACTTTAGGATTTAGTTGGAATAGACATAGTTAGGATATGATATTAGTAGATTATTGTATATTCATGTAATTCACCTTTATGATTGTTAATTATAGATGATTTACACTGTTAAGTTTTAATCCTCTTTAGACTAAAAGGGGAATTATAAGGGAATCCTGTTTAGAGGTAATGCTGACAATGCCTGCTTGGGGGTGGACACAGGTGTGGCTGACCACACCCACTTGGGCGTGGTCAGAGTGACGTGGGAAAGGTTTAAGCAGTTAGGGGTGTACAGGCAGGGCCTCTTCTCTCACTCCCTGCCACCTGGCTAAGCTGACTTGAGTGAGTACTATTTTTTAATAAACTATCTGTTATCAATCTTGCATCTGACTCCACATTGCATTCAGGTATAAATATATCCTTGAAGTATAACTGTAAATGTGTACTGCTGGCCTTTACAACCAAAAACAACTTGCTTCTGGTGGTCCATATGGATAGGTTCTAAGAAAAAGGCATTTACTAGATAAATAGATACCATGTACCAGGAGATGTGTTCAGCTGCTCAAGTAAGGACACAATATCTAGTGTAGCAGTTGCAATCAGAGTCATTACTGGTGGCTCTTGATAGGTAACAGTCATTCTCCAAGATACATCTGTTTTCTGCACTGACCCAGGTGCCCATCACCCGAAGAATGGATAAAGAAAATGTGGTACATTTACACAATGGAGTACTAATCAGCAGAAAAAACAATGGAATCTTGAAATGGATGGAACTAGAAGAAACCATCCTGAGTGAGGTAACCCAGTCACAGAAAGACAAGCTTGGTATGTACTCACTCACATATGGATATTAGACATAGAACAAGGGATTGCCAGCCTACAATCTACACCTCCAGAGAAGCTAGGAAACAAGGAGGACCCTAAGAAAGACATAGTCCCCCAGAGAAGAGGAAAGGGACAAAATCTCCTGAGCACATTGGGAGCATGTGGTGAGGGAAGGGAAGTAGGAGAAAGAGAAGGGGAGAAGAGGAGCGGGGAGGAGAACATGAGGGAGCAGGAAGATTAGTTGAGGGAAGAATAGGGGAGAGCAAGAAAAGAGATACCTTAGTGGAGGGAGCCATTATGGACTTAATGAGAAATTTGGCACTAGGGAAATCCCCAGAGATCCACAAGGATGACCTCAACTAAGAATCTAAGCAATAGTGGAGAGGCTACCTTAAATGCCCTTCCCCTATAATGAGATTGATGACTACCTTATATGCCATCCTTGAGCCTTCATCCAGTAGTTGATGGAAGCAGAAGCAGAGACCCACAGCTAAGTATTGTGCCGAACTGCTGGGATCCAGTTGTGGAGAGGGAGGAGTGATAAGCAAAAGATCAAGACCATGCTGGGGAAACCCACAGAAACAACTGAGCTGAGCAAGTGGAAGCTCATGGACACCAGTCTGACTGCTGGGGAGCCAGCATAAGAACGAACCAGGCCCCCTGAATGTGGGTGTCAGGTAGGAGGCCTGGGTAGTCTAAGAGGCCTCTGGTGCTAGAACCAGTATTTATCCCTAGTGCAGGAATGGATTTGGAAGCCCATTCCCCTGAGGAGGGATACTCTCTCAGCCAAGATACACGGGAGAGGGCCTAGGCCCTGAACCAAATGATGTGACAGACTTTGATGATCTCCTATGGAAGGGCTCACTCTCCCTGAGGAGTGGGTGGGGGTTACAATGGGGAGTCGGTGGGGTGCATGGGAGGGTCGAAGGGAAAGGGAACGGGATTGATATGTTAAATAAGATTGTTTCTAATTAAATGAAAAATTTGAAAAGAAAAAAAAAACAAAACAAAACAAAAAGAGAATAAAGGGGAGATGTAGTGAGAAGCAGCATCCCTGCATCCCTCAAGCCATTGACGGTGTCACCAACTTCTCCAACTCCTCCTGGGCTGTGACACTTGTCTTTGATTCACTATTTTCCCTGGAAGAGGCAACTCCAATGGATTCCATTTGGCCTTTGCAACCACAACAGCTCTCATTCCACAAATCAGGGAACCAATGGGATTTCTGGCAACTTCTAAGTGGATCTATCCCAATAATACATTCTGGAGTGGGGAATAACAACAGGATAATTTGGAGACCTACACTGTGCCAGTCTTCAGTCAAAACTCCATTAATCGCCTGGCTTCCCCAAACCCCTTCTTTAACTGGGGGGGGTCACAATGCTACATGGGATCACTGGGAATCAATGTCAGTTCGGAACCAGCATCCAAAAGGTCTTCTGAGGAGTTCCAAATCAGAAAATGGACCGTTCCTCATCTTGGACATCCTGTCATTGCTCAGAAGGAGGGTGATCATGCGGCTGGGGGGCATGTTGAGGGCTGAAAGGTAGTGCAAGCTCCAGACTGCTGCAACCCCCTGTTGGCCTATTCAGCCATGCAGTCTGAAGTGCTCTGTAGTCCCCTGAAGACCTCTCTCTCATACACTCACCATCACTATCGAGTCTCTAGGTCCACATCTTCCTACCTCTGAATCTCCACTCCATCCCTCCTTCTTTCCCACCTCTCCAGGAAGTATTCCTTCTTTGTAGTGGCTTTGAAATTGTAGGTATGAGTGCATGTATGTATGTATGTATGTATGTATGCATGCATGTATGTATGTATGTAGGTATAACCCAGACAGCTTTGCATGCAAATACTGGTCTGGTTCAATCCTGGACCATTGCCAAAATACTCATTTCAGGTATTCTGCTGTTGGCAAATATCAGGATGATATGGCAGCTAGGCAGGGCATCCTGGGACAGATTCTATATAAGCTCCTGACTGCCACACACCTCCCTGCCCTCTATGTCTGCCACCATGAAGCTCACCTTTGTGCTTGTAGCCTGCAAGCAGCCCTGCTGCATATCCCAGCAAAGTGAGCACCTCATGCAACAGCTGCAGCGGCTCCATACTGGGGGCTGACTGTCCTATTCAGTTATGGCATATTTCTGAGGGAGCTCCAGGACATCTTCCTGTCTTGGGGCCAACCACTGGGTAGGAAATATGGGCTTTAAGCCTGTGGGCATCACTACTGCATCTGCAGGGCAAGCAGCACAGGTCACAGCTGCAGGGGCTCCATGCCAGGAGCCAGCCAGTAGGCCTAAGCTGCCCTCAACCCCAGAATACAGTTTCTAATGAAAGGATTTGAAAAGCTGGAGGGGCAAGAAATGTAAATCAGATAAAGACTATTCCATGTGAAATCTGGAAGCTGGGAAGCAGATATTCAGCTTCACTTTGACACAGAAAACCCCCAACCATACTTGGAGTTGAAACTTGCAGCTTCATACATAATCCTCAGGAAGGGGAGAGAGGCTGGAGGTTCGATTAATGATTGACTTGAAGCCTCCATGGATAGATTTCATTCCAGGCTTTAGGAGGGCTTCCAGATTGACATGCACACCGTATCCTGACAGATGGTGTAATGCAATGCCATGGAACGGGACTTCCTGTGACTGGGACCTGTCTAGATCTTACTCTCAGTACCTCTTTGTTTGGCTCTTCACCTGCATCCTTTCTAGCATCCTTGACATTATCCTGTAAATATGCAGGAGTTTCCCTGAGCTCTGTGAACAGTCTAGCAAAGTCTTGTATTTAAGAAGGGGCTTATAGGATCCTTCAATTTATAGCAGCCGGGTTAGAAACATAGGTCACAACCTGCCGCATGTGACTGGAATCTGAAATGGGAGATAGTCTTTTCCACCTGTGAGAGTTGATGCTGACTCTATGTACCTATTGCCAGAGGTGAATTAAATCACAGGATACCCACATGGTATCTTTAATAAACAGAAAAATTGCTCAGTGTGGGAAAGCTATAAATTTAATGCCACAAGTGTGACAAATGAGTGTCTAAATCAACCATTTTCCCTGTATGCCACTAGATATTTAAAATATTTGAAAGATACATATGTAATAAATATAAAAAGATAGTGTGTCAGGCAAAACAATACTGATTTGCACATAGCAGAAAAAGAAGATATAAAGGAAGCAATAAACAATCTCTGGGAAGAAGAAAAAATTCAAAGACAGTACGGGTGAATCTAGACAGCTACCTACTACATGATTGACATTGTTAATTGGGTTTGAAACAGGGTTTAACAAGTGGCTAAGGTTAACTTTAAATTCAATTGCTTTGTCTCAGACTGCCAAGTAATTAGGATTATAGGCAAACACCATCATGCCAAGTTTTAAGTCACCTTTTGTATGACATAAGGCCACAACAAAGGAGTAGCTCTCCTAGCAAGTCAAACTAGCAAGAAGAAGAGGCAAAGTAACAGCCATTAAATTTTATTGTCTGTATGCATTTAGTGTGTATTACCAATTAAAACCACCCTTATCCACTATAAAACAATAGTTACTTCTAACATTCAGACTGTAACTTACCATTAAATGTTTCGTTCAAAATTAAGCCTAGTAATGCCACATCATTGGCACAGGGGCACTTTGCCACTTTGATATCTGTCACATGTGGATGCAATTTTTTGACCTGTGCTTTATTCATTATTGCTCCAAGATTCCACTGAAGAATAGGCTCTGGGGCAGACAAATTTAAGCATTAGCATCATGGCAGTACTCTTGAAACTGGAACACCACTATTTTTCTTTAAAGGTCTTAGAAAAACTATGGAAAGGAAATATTTGATGTTCATGGCAGGTAGGGGATATAGTGGAGGCTGGAGAGATAGTTCATGGTTAAGAACACTGGCTGCTCTTTCAGGGGACCTGGGTTTGATTCCCAGAACCCACAGAGCATCTCAGTGTCGTCTGAAGCCCCAGTTCCAGCAGATCCATGGTCTTCTGACCTCCCAGGGCATCAGGCACACTTCTGATGCACAGACTTGTATACTGAGGAAACATCCATAAACATAAAAACTTTATACCCAGGTATAATATGATCTCATGCTTCATCAGTTAAAAATAGACTGTTTCATTGTGCAAAGGAGAAAGAATGAAATTTTCTTGATAATATTCTCGAAAGGTCATACTTTTAGGATGAGAGATATTACTTTAGCCATATATGGAAAATACATGGTCACATTGTCTATGCTTAGAATTATAGAGCTGGGACACAGAAGTGCGATATTTTTAATTTAGGGATCTGCTTCTGTGTCAAAAGCACACGTTTCCTTTTGCTCCTTTTTGCAATCCCATCAAAGCAGCAGTAGGTAAATGAAACGGGAATAAACTGCACAAGTAGATAAAAGAGACTATCATCAGTGAACAAGAGACTGAGATATCTAGGAAAGAGGTAGAAGTTGAGAGTGTATTAACAGAAAAACAGTTCATCTTCAGCTTATCAAAAACTGCATATCACTTTCCTATGGAAAATCAGGTAGTTTTTAAAATTCCCCTGCTTTTGTTTTGATTAAACTCTAACTCAGAAGTCCCCCGCTTTCCTCCATATCTTTCTTCCCTCTCTGAGAAGCATTCCATGAAATACTAGAATAAGTGGGACTCTGCTGGGGATCAGTGCAGCCCCAGGATCACTGTAACTGAAGAGGGAGAAGACACTCTTACCAGCCTGGAGGAGGCAATGACCCTCTGAGAAAGACTTAGTCAGACAAGGGTTACAGTTTTAGAACTTAGAATATCTACATGGATTTGAAGCATGTTAAAGCAAAGTCAAATTTTCATATGTAAAATGGGAGTTCTCCCCAATCACAAAAAGACAAACATGGTGTGTACTCACTCATATGTGGATTTTAGACATAGAGTAAGGGATTACCATCCTACAATCCACACTGCCAGAGAAACTAGTAAACAAGGAGGACCCTAAAAGAGACAAACATTGTCCCCTGGAGAAGGGGAAAAGGTCATGATCCCCTGAGCAAACTGAGAGCGTGGGAAGAGGGGGAAGGAAGCTACGAGAGTGAGAAGGGGAGAAGAGGAAGGATGCAGAGGTCATGAGGGAGCAGAAAGGTTGAGTCAGGGGAAGAATAGAAGAAAGGATATGTGATAGGTAGGGTTTTAGTTGGGGGGTGGTAGGGGAAGAAGGGAGGGAGAAGGGAACTGGGATTGTTGTGTAAATCATTCTTGTTTCTAATTCAAATAAAGATTATAAAAATGGGAGTTCTCTCTTCCCCTGAGGAAAAGGAACATTGGAAAAAACTTCTCAAAATGTTCTTATTTAAAAATTTGAAAAGAAAAACATTTTCCCTATTTTGGAAAAATTAGAAAAAAAGTAACAGAGAAGAACAAGTTAGTCCAGGGAAGTTGCAAGAATACTCCTGTGTGATTTAAAAAATAGTCATAGAACCTCTAACAACAGAGACATGTGATAATCATTTCTTAGCTGTCTGTATTCCACAATGCAGTTCAATCTCCTCAAATTTTCAGAAAAATCACTGTGTCTAGCCCCCAATACACTGAGAACTCCTGTCTTCCTCTGCTTTGTGTAAAGTAAGAGAGGCAGTTCAATTTCTGTCTCTTTGGTTCTTATGCCGTCCTAGAAGGGGAAAGAAACAATCTCAACTACAGCAATTCAGCAGGAAGTTCCACAGGACTTCACACAGCTTTGAGTAAGGAACCAACATCATGGGCTGTCACGTGGTTGCAGGCCATTGGCATCTGACCTTAGAGAACAAGGAAGTTTGATTTGTCCTGGATTGACAGTGCTGCTTGGGGTCAGACACTCTATTTAAGTCATAAGAACTAAAGAGTGTTGGTGACCTAAAAACCTCAGATGACCTGAAAAATTGTTCAGGAAAGTTGATTTGACTGACGAACACCTTTGGTAAGCTGATAAGATCAACACCTGACCTTTGCTGGAAATTACCACCTTTTAACCTCAGGGAAACTGACTTCCTATGGAAACTTACTTTCCCAAAGTTCCTCTTTTTGTTCTATAAAGTCCCTAACCCCTCGCCTGCCAGGTGTACAGTCTCCACTCCTGCAGAGAGACTGAGACCCTCCAATTGTTCTGATTAAAGAGCAATTCTGTTTCTGGAACAAACAAACAAACAAAAAAGTAGAGGGAGATTAAGGTTTGACTGCTGCCAATGAAGAGAGAAAAGTGACCAATGGGAAAGTCACTGTTGACCTGTGACTAAAAACAATTTATGTGGACAGTACAGAATTGAGATGCATGGCTTGGAGTCCCTTTCAGTCTGTATTAGATATGAAGCAGCACAGATAGGATTTTTAAGCACCTCTTTTGAGTTTAGTAGAGAATAAAGACTAACACCACACCCTCACTTTTGCTTTGACTCTTATTTCCTTGTGTTGCCCCTCTGTAACACAAATAACCAAAACCCAGAGACAGATATTTGGTTCAACCTGATGGTCAGACAATCAAAGCAGCCAAGCCAGTAGCTCTTACCTCTACCTAAGGTAGAAAGAGTGATCCAGCTAGCTCCATAAATCCTGAGAATGCAATCCTAGACTATTGCCTCCCCTCAACATGACTGAAGAATAAATATTCTCATGAGGCCCTTCTCCTTTTCCTTTTATACCTACTTAGTGCTGGGATTAAAGGCATGTGATCCCAGGTGCTAAGATCACCTTTGTGGGAGCTGTTTCTCTTTAGGACTGCATCAATTTCATTGTAGCTCAGTGTGGCCTTGAACTAACAGACATACCTCTGCTTGTCTCTTGAGTCCTGGGACTAAAGGTGTGTGCCAGCAGTGCCTGGCTCTATGGCTAGTAGTATGGCTGCTGGGATTAAAGGTGTGAATCACCATTGCTGACTCTCTGGCTTGTGGTAAACTTCCTTTCTGTAACCTCAGGCAAGCTTTATCAAACCATATATAATGTATCACACACCACTCCTATCTCTAACTGTTCTACCTGCTCTACTTGATTGCTCCAGAAGAAGTGGAGGATTCATCCTTGGCACTCCCACTTCCCTCACCCCTGGCCATCAGGAATCCCACCTGCTCTACTTACAAAGCACTTTGGGCTGTTCCTGCTCAATTTCTGCATGGCATGCACCACAGCCTGAGGCTTACAGGCAGCTCTTGGATGTGGTGATGCAACAGCTGCTAGCCATGGCCTTTATTCCATTCTGCCATTCTTCTCCAAGCATCTAACAGTGGGACCTTTTCTAAAGCTTAAATCAGAGTTTATCACCTTCCTACTCAATGCACTCAGCTGATTCTGTATTGTTATAGCTAGTTAAAATCCTTCACCTTTCCCACAAGCTCTGCCAGCCCTTCCAAACTCAGGGGACACCAACCTTGCCATCATTTTCTGTGCTTCAGCAAGAAGAGGTCCTCTCAGATTCTCAAGCAGGCCAATCCTATTTCTGCATACTGATACACCCTCCCCCCCCCACACACGTTCCTTGTTTGCTCCATCAGGCTATGGTCCTGGCTATCTGGGATTTGTCACTGTATGGAGGCCATCAAAGTTTGTTCAAAGCTTATGTGAATCTTGTTTGCTCCATCAGGCTGTGGTCCTGGCCATCTGGGATTTGGCACTGTATAGTATTCATCAAAGTTTGTTCAAAGCCTATGTGAATTTTGTTCTAGTTTATATGCTGATATTTACCTCGGACAAGATCCAATAGGGTTCCCTCAGTATCATAAATGTTTAACCCTTCATGCATTGTGACCTTTATTATCCATTCTTCTACAGACTCGATATCTAAAAAATAAAAGACAAACGACTTTTTACATGTCATGGTGATGATAATGGAAGCTATGCGAGTACTACCAAGCAGTGTACCTTTTCTTTTTACAATCATTTTGACTACATCTATGTGTCAAATTTCACACAGTTTCTGCAAACTTATTTTCTGATGAAATATTGGAAAAGAATTATGAAATGATTTTACTACCACGGCAATGTATCTTGATGCTCATATCCTAACTTGTGTCCCACAGCTACACTGAGGGAATGAAAACCATAACTCTTTTGTGAAACACTGTAATATCTCTTTAAAGTATCTGTCAAAGAGAAGTACAGGACCTGAGGGTGGCAATGCTGACTTTGACCAAATATGTGAGGAAAATTTAACAGCATTTTTTATCAAACTTGTGTCCATAAATGAAACAGAAAGACTACTTCTAAATACATTCTACAAGGTCAGTATTACCCTGATACCAAACCAGATATGGGCAGACCATATAGAGAAAACTCCAAGCCAACATCTCTGATGAAACTTTAGGTAAAATATCCCAAACAAATACTACAACACTGGGACCTCAGTGGTTAAGAACACTCTTCTAATGGATCCAGGTTCAGTTCCAAGCAACCACTTGGCCACCACAACCACTTGTAACTCCAGTTCCAGGACTTCAAACACCATCTTCTGGCCTCTGTAACCTCTTACACACATGGTACACACATACATATGCGTAGACAAAACACTCACACATAAAATAAGAATAAATAAATCTTCAAAAATACTAGAAAACATAAGTCACTCACACAGTAAAAAGATTATTCTAATGAGATACACTTCAGAGATTCAAGCATAGTTCAATAACAAGAAAGCAAACAACAGAGTTTAAAATGGGCAGTTCTCAAAAGAAGACATGAAAATGGCCAGCTGGTATATAAAACATCACCAACCACCTTGGGAATGTGACTCAAAACCATGGCACAATATCTACAATGCCTGATAGAATGGCCATAATGAAAAAGACAAAAGATTATAAGTGCTGGTAAGGATGTTATAAAACAGTAACCCTTCAGCACTGTTAGGGGGATGTAAACCAATGCAGCCATCAGGAAATACAGAATGGAGATGTCTCAAAATGTTAAAAATAATCCAGCGATCCTACCACTGGGTATGTAGTTAAAGGAAGTTGAATCGATGTGTCAAGGAGATACCTGTCAGCCTCCATCTTACTTTTGTAGTTCTATTCACACTAATCAGAACAGGCACTCACTCAAAATGTCCATTCTCATTGGGATGAAGGCTGGAAATGCACTATACGTAAACACGCATATGAATACTGTGAAATCTTGTTATTTGAGACGACAGGGATGAATCTGGAGAACATTATATCAGGTGAAATAACCCAGGCACAGAATGACAAATAGCAGCATTGCCTCATTCACACGTAGAATGTCAGGAAGCTGCTTTTATAGGACGGAACTGAATGGGGGTTCCCAGAGTTTGGGTGTTAGGTGCTAGGGAGAGATGGGAGGATATTAGTCATGGAGACATAGTTATACTTAGATGGGAGGATGGAAAGTGCCAGAATAGGAAGACAGAGACAGAAATAAAGGGAGATTGTTGGAGTACATGGGAGAGATGATAGGTAGTGAGGAGAGACTTGGCAATGAATATAAATGGCCATAGTGTTTCTGCCCTTGGTGACGAAATGATCTAAATTTGAACTGAAAAATTATTGTACAATTATACAGTAGGAGTGTTTTAAAGGGAAAACACTGACAGCTGTGTTTGTCAGACACCTTAAACCCAGCACTCTGGAGGCAGAGGCAGGAAGATCTCTGTGATTTTGAAGCCAAATTCCAGGCCACTGAGAGCTACATAGTTAGACCCAGTTTCAATAAAATAAAATATTAAGGGCTAATGTTCTACTAAGGATGAAATCACGGGGGCATATTGTATAAGAGTAGATGGAAATTAGTTAAAATGAATAGTTAAGCAATGAAAAAATCAAGGGATAAATAATGTACCAATAGTAGAGGTAAATGGAATCAAAAAAGTAATTAACATAAAATTAAGAGAGAAAAAGAGGAAATAGGAAACCTTGGAGGTAACCAACTAGTACAACTTTGTTCCATTTGCAAGATGGTAGATTTCAATAAACCAAATAAATAAGTATGTTATGTGTAAATGGTCTAGAATATTAATTCAAAATCTCAAAAAATTAAACACAAATAGCTGAGAAATACTTTAAAATGTTCAAAGTACCTAGGTATCAGGGAAATGCAAATTAAATCTACTTTGAGATATCATCTTACCACTGTCAGAATGGCCTAAGCTATGGATACCCAATCAAAATTGTACCTATAGTGACATTATTTCACTTTTAACTATTGAAAGTACAATTTAAAGAGTCTATATTTATAATGAATTTTGCAAAAAATAAATCGCAAAACATTAACAAAAACTCCATTAGTTTAGGCATACAGGTGCCATATAATATGGCTGTATGAGGGCAACCTTGGGTATCAATCTGTGATTCCCACATTGTTTGAATCAGGGTCTCTTTTTCAATATTTTGCAGGGCAGAAATGTCTCTAAGGATTCTCATGTCTCTGCCTCCATCTCTCCATAGGAACACTGGACTAAATGTGCACACTACAGAGTGGAGCTTTACATGGTGTCTGGAAATCTGTGATGCAGTTACACTTGAGTGCTTATTTGTGCTCCTCATGAGTGACCCCTCAAAGCATGCTTAGTGAGACCGTGAAAAGACTCATTGGTTCCCCAAAATAAACACTGGTAAATATTACTTTGGCCTGCTGCTGTCTCCCTTTCTGGAGTGAGCAGACACATGTTTCGTCTCCCCAGGAAACGTCTGTCATACAACCCATGAGGTAAGACATACTTTATTACATGAAGTCAATGCTTTTGCTTGAAAATGTTGGCAATGCAGACCATTGAGTCCAGGAATGACTTCAGATCCCCCTTACCTGTGTTTACTGTGATCCTTTCTCTGGGAATATCCATCAGCCAGGAAGTTCGATTGTTGATCTTGAAGAAAAAAATTAGCACACATTATTTTACAGCATTAAAGCAACACTTACTTTGGCATATTCTACCCAATATTTTATAAGTAAAATTAGTCAAAAATGTCCAAATATACACACATATGTACACTTACAGATAAAGGGTATTCAATAGCAAATTTCACTGTTAGGGATTTTTCCCACATTACACTCATGTAGGAGTGAAATCACACACACACACACACACACACACACACACACACACACACACACACACACATTCAAGGATAGTATGCGTTATTGTATTAGAGGGTTGACGGCAATACTAGTAAGATATCTACTATCTATCTATCTATCTATCTATCTATCTATCTATCTATCATCATCTCGCTATCTATCATCTATCTACCTATCTATCTATCATCTATCTACTTATCTATCATCTCTCTCTCTCTCTCTCTCTCTCTCTCTCTCTCTATATATATATATGGCAGAGTGTTTGGGAATGTAAGAGGGGAACCCCAGAACAAGAGAGCAGTAAGAATGGGAGCTCTAAAGTTTACATTGAAAACATGTCTAAATTCCCCTGCTACACCAGTCTAGAGAACACTCCCAGAGCAGCTTTAACAATAAAAGCAGTGGGAGCCAAAAATCTAGCAGGATAATAACCTTCAGAAGTATAGGTAAGACAGCTTTCAGGATTCTTTCTTCTTTACCAAGGAAATTATCTGCTTTTTAGACAAACAGTAAAAATAGCATTTCTTAGAAGAAGAAACCAGAATCCAGAGTTGCCACAACATGTCACCTACAGTGTCCAGCTTTCAACCAAAACAATGACACTAAGGGGAAAAAAGGAAAATGTAGCTGATATTATGGGGGCAACTGCACACAGTCAGTTGACTCAGTTTGGCTAACAGACAATGGATTAAAATGTTATTTTGACAATTCTGTGCATAGACTGAAGGAAACTGTCCCACAAATTGAATGCATAGATAATTCCAAACAGAGTAGAAAAGACACATAAACAAAACAAATGCAAACAATAAAGCTTAAGTAGAATGAACGAGGTAAAGCACATACTAAATGAACTCAGTAGGAGAATGAATAAGATAGACAAGGAAAAAGTGGACTCAGAGATAAACAATTGATCCAGTAATAAAGGGAAAGGAAGCAGTAGCATGCATGGAGATGATGATAATGTGCTATTATTTCAGAATGTTAGAAAACAGGACTTTCATAGCCTTACCATAAGACATGAAATGCTATCTCAAATAAAAGAAACAACCTAAAAAAAAAAACAAGAACAAAATGATACATATTTGAGGAGAGAATATATTTAACCTAATGCAGATATTATATATTGAAATACCATCCAATGCCCCACTTAAACACGGGATTTTTATATTCTCTCCTATCATTTAAATTTAGGGAAAAAATGAAAGTCACTAAAAATCTTAATAGTTTTAGAAACTTGACTGACAGTATTTTGCCTTCCAAGATTTTTACTTTTTAATTTTTAATCCACACTACCAAAAAAACTAGGAAACAAAGAGGACCCCAAGAGAAGAAGGCATGGTCCCCTGAAGAAGAGGAGGAAGACAAGAATCCCTGAGCAAATTGGGAGCACCGGGGAGGGAGAATAGGAAGGTGTGAAGGGGAGAGGGTGAGAAGAGAAGGGGGGAGAAGAGAAGAGAACAGGAGGACTGAGACAGGGGAGGAATAGAGGGAGGAGGGCAAGGAAGGAGATGCCTTGATAGAGTGAGCCAGTATAGGTTGGAGAGAGGTCTGGCACAGGGGAAATGTTAGGGGATCCACAGAGATGATCCCAACTAAGAATTTAGGCAGTGGTGGAGAGGCTGCCCTTGATGCCCTTCCCCTATAATGAGATTGATAACTACCTTGGTTGCCATTCCTAGAGCCTTCATCCAGTAGCCGATTGACGCAACAGGCACCCACAGCTAAACACTGAGCCATACTCCTGTAATCCAGTTGCAGAGAGGGAGGAGGAATGAGCAAAGGAGCCAAGACTGTGCTGGAGAAAGCCACAGAAACAGTTGACCTGACCTAGCGAAAGCACCCTAGTTGAAAAGCTGGGGAACCAGCATTGGACCAAACCAAGACTGCTGAATATGGTGCCAGCTAGGAGGCCAGGATGGGACCTCTAACAGTGATCCCAGTGTTTTCGGTGTTTATCCCTAGAACACAAATGGACTTTGGGAGCCCATTCCCTACGGAGGGATACTATTGCAGGCCAGATACAAGAAAGAGGGACTAGGCCCTCCCCCAAAGGATGTGATAGACTTTGATACCCCCCATGGAAGGCCTCACAGTCCTTGGAGAGAAGGTGAGGGTAGGTAGAGGGGGTTGGTAGGGGCATGGGAGGATGGGAGGCAGAGGGAACAGGGAGATTGATATGTAAATAAGAGTACTTCTGAAAAAAAACTCTGAAAAAAGAAACTAGCCTGACAATATCCTGCCATTTAAGATTTTTTATTAAGAGTCCTAAGAAGAAAACAAAGAAACAAAAGGGCAAAAATAATGCAGAAGTAATTAATGTAGACTGTCAAAATTCGCTAGGCACAAAATATGCAGCTCAGCTACCCAATCAGGAAAGTACAAAGAGAAAAATTTAAACATGTGCAGAGAAGAATGACATATTACATACAGAGAGAATAGTTGTAATTTCAAGCCAACGTCTTATCAAGAAACGATAGCGCTAAGCGACTTTAGAATAACATGCTCCAAATTCTGAAAGAAAATTACACCATTGAGAAATGGTATATCTGGCAACACTATCTTTCAAATTTTAAGTGACTAATAAAAATCTGTCACAGTTCACAGTATGTCTAGCAACATAGTAAAATTAAAGAAAATTATACAAAAATGGGATTAGATTTCAAAGAACAAATATGAAAGGTATACTTCTGATGACCCTCCTTCAAGGGACCAAAGGCCAGAAACTTCATCTTCACAAGGATGGCCTTCCATCTCTAGATTCTTCCTTTGACTGCATCTCACCTCTGCCCAAACCATCCCGTGTTAGAGACAAGTTCCTGGAACAGAGCATGGACACTGAGGATCTGTAGTATCACACAGAGAATTCTGCAAATGAGTCTGAAGATGGTGATGCAGATGATGAGGAGTGGAAACCAAGGAAACTGGCTAAAGTGCCCAGGAAGACCATGCAAGGGTGCTCCTGCAGGGGATGGTGTAAGAACAGA